ATTTATTAATTATTTGTTAATGTTTTTGCAGTACCCTATCTGAAGTGGAAACTATTCATCAATTGTAAATTATTATAAACATTTACTAATCATTCGTACCTTCATGAGCAGTCATTTTGATGGCAAAAATGGTCCCAAATGACCGGAATTTACCCAATTTTCACATCTTTACAAATCATTTATTAATCATTTGTTCATGTTTCTGCAGTACCCAATCTAAAGTTGAGACTATTCATAATTTGTAAATGTTTATAAACATTTACTAATTTTTTTTTTTATCTTTATTGGCACTGGACTTTTAGCTACTGTAACAATGTTTGTGTAAAGGGTGGTTAGTTAAGTTTAGCTAAATGCTTGGTAGAGACATTACACACATTGTAATTTGGGTGCAAAACATGTTTTTATTGCCTCAACACTTATATTAGTATACTACTGTGAATCATTAAACAGAATATTCCTTGAATCATACGTTAACAGGAGGGGGGGGGCTTACTCGGTTACTAACGTAACCTTGGTTCCCTGAGATACGGAACGAGTACTGTGTCTGTTTAACAAGCACATTATTTCACGTTGCTAGATATGTGATTATATATTAACTAATGATCAGTTAAACATTACATAATTTTTGTTAATTATTTATTAATGAAAGTTATTATAAAGTGTTACAAAAAAAATTATTAAAATTAATTTTTAATGTAATTTTATTACAGAATGCACAAGCCTCATATACTCATTATGGTTTCTTATATTGGATCTTAAGAAGAAAAAAAAAGCACACAAAAGTGCTCCACAGAAGAAAGTAATTTTGGTTTGGTCTGGCATGAGGGTGAGTAAATAATGTGTTCTAATTTTTGTTCAACTACCCCTTTCAGGCAGGTGCATCATGAGTAATATAAAACAGAGTGGCCTTTGGAGCAGATTACCCGAACAGATGACTCCTGCATCTTTAGTATGATCACAGAGATATGAACCCCATTGTACTGATCCACAGTTCTTCAGTGTAGACTCTGATCCAGTACATAACTTGCGATTTGGCCAGATTGCTCCTGATCCTGATCCAAAATGAGCATCAACCACAACATCTACAGGTTCTCCACAGTCCAGCTCTCTACACACCACTGCAGCATCAGCCATATCAAAGTCAACACCACACACTGTTCCCCACTGACCTCTATGAAGAACCTCCACTCTACCAGCACAGCGACTGTTGCCACCAACCAACCTCACTCTCATATTGTCTATATAATAAATAGAGAGAGATAAGAAAAAAGATACAGACAGAAGGAAAGAAAAAAGTAACACACTAAGATAAAAACTATGAAAGTAATATTTATTCTAAATTCAAGGGACATTCAATTAAACTAATTTCAGTTTATTAAAAGAAAACACTCAAACCTGCACACACTAATCCAACACTGTATTCATGTGAACAGCTATGTTTGTGTGAGGAGTTAGTTGGACAGAGGTGAATCTGAGACTCATTTCCTCTGCACCGAATCACTTGTGTCCACATCTGAGTGTCTCCTTTGCCAAAAGCAGCTGCTCCCAGCACCTGTACAGGAGCCCCACAGTCCAGCTCTCTACACACAACCTCTGCATCCTGCTGGTCAAAGGCAGCGTCACACACTGACATCCACGTCTGATCATGAAGTATCTCTAACCTCCCAGAGCAGCGAGAACCTCCAACCAGTCTGACTTCTAAATAAGTAAACACATATCAACAAAATCATGCCTTATTTTAAAGGAACATAAGAGGACATGTCTCCACCTCCAAGACCCTGTCATGAATAGAGCACCTGAGGTTAATTTGGGGTTAATTTTGCTATGACTACTGCTTGTGTATGCCAATGAGTTCCACAGGGCCAATGGGTTTTCCAAAGGTTTCACTCAGGTTTTTTATGTCAATTATTTTACCAGACAAGAAGGTGAAAATAGTCATGGAATGAGTGCTTTTGGCACATCTGTTTTCTATAATAATACAACACTTTTAACTTACCTGAACATATGACTTGAGCACTCTTATCAAGACATTTGTCAGGCAATTGTATGGATCCACATTTCTTAAGTGTAGACTCAGTTCCAGTACAAATTGCAATTTTCATTAAGACTGGTCTTGATCCTGGTCCAAAGTAAGCATCCAGAGCATCTACAGGTTCTCCACAGTCCAGCTCTCTACACACAACTGCAGCATCAGCCAAATCCCAGCCATCACCACACACGGTTCCCCACTGACCTCTATGAAGAACCTCCACTGTACCAGCACAGCGACTGGTACCATTTACCAATCTCACATTTATTATGCCTAGGAATGTAAGAAACACAGAAAGGAAATAGAAAAGGTAAGTGGAAATTTAAATGAGATAGAAATGAAAATAAAATTAAATAAAACTGCTTTGTTGCATTTTGAACTCCTACCAGTACACAGCAAACCAATGTTGAACTCATGAGAACAGTTGTTTTCATGTAATGGTGATGTTGGACAGAGGTGAATCTGAGACTCATTTCCTCCGCACTGAATCTCTTGTGTCCACATCTGAGTGTCTCCTTTGCCAAAAGCAGCTGCTCCCAGCACCTGTACAGGAGCCCCACAGTCCAGCTCTCTACACACAACCTCTGCATCCTGCTGGTCAAAGGCAGCGTCACACACTGACATCCACGTCTGATCATGAAGCATCTCTAACCTCCCAGAGCAACTGGAGTTTCCAATTAGTCTGGCACCTGAAGTAGGAAGAGATAAGAATTCGCCTGTCCTGCATGTGTTTTAACTGTGGGGGAATTCATCCTCATGTTAAACCAAATCCTTATGAATTCCTTTCTTTTCATGGAAGACAAAAATGGAGAATATTTAAAGAAAATCCTGGCCAGTCTTTTCAATATAATGCAAGTGTATTAGGTAGTGTATTAGGACTGGGGCTGTCAAAGCACCAAAATGAAAAAAAGAAAAGAAAAAGGTAACACTTTATAATAACTTTCATTAATAAATCATTAACAAACATTATATAATGTTTAACTAATCATTACTTAATATATATTCACAAATCTAGAAATTAATCATTACCAAATGATTAACAGATCATTAATTAAATTTAAATTGAAATGCTTACAAATGTCATTAAAAAAAACTAAAAAAAACTAATGATTTTGACAGATGGTTTACAATGATTAAAAGCTTCATTAATAAATCATTAACAAACATTATACTATGCTTAACTGATCATTAGTTAATGTTTACAAATGTCATTCAACTTTCAATGCGTTTTGAAAATCTACAAAAGATTTTAACAGAAATTACACAATGATTACAAGTTTATTTGTTAATGTACTGTTGAATGTTTACAAGTGTCATTAAACTTCAGTTCACATATTAGCTAATGCTCATTTTTACATTTACAATTGTTGTGAAAATATAGCTTAATTATTAATTTTAAGCACTTCACAAACTATTCATGTTAATATATTCATTAACTCATAATCGCTGTCTGTAAAGGTAATATATTTGGTCTTTGTTTGTTGTGTAGACTTCTACTATTTGCACATCTTAAATAATTTATTAATTATTTGTTAATGTTTTTGCAGTACCCAATCTAAAGTGGAAACTATTCATCAATTGTAAATGATTATAAACATTTACTAATCATT